AATAGGAAATGCCTGACAATAGTTAACAGGGATTAACCAAACACATCTTCTGTGTTCTTGTTTAGGAAGAATTCCTATTCTTTTGTCCAGAGGCTAATGAAACTAAAGACGAACTCCTACTTCAGCTGAAATAACTGTTGTGATCTGAAAGGAAAAGGAACTCTGTTCTTGAATAAGCAGATCCGTTTTTCTCCCACTTAGGCAATAGCTGCTTATTAGTTGCCTAATCTTGCTTGTGATCCTCTCTCTGTAAATGCCTTTATCTGATTTGAGTCACTGCCATTACATTTGTTTCTTCCTCCCCTCCATTAAAATAGCAGATCTGAAAGCATTTCCATAGCTAATCTCTTTAAGATTTTTTCGCTGTGGTTCTCTTCCTTACCAATAGGCTGACTTTCTAGTGATTCTAAAAGTTTCCCTCATCTACCTTATCATTTGTTTTATTAATGTGATTTCCTTTTGCTGAATGCCTTTGCCTCCTCTGTGGAGCCATTAAATTAGTGAACGTATTCTATAAAGTTTCTCTCATCCTCCTTCACTTCCATGTAGCATGGTTTTTTTTTTCTCTTCTAAGACTATATTGGGCTGGAGCGATAGCACAGCGGGTAGGGCGTTCGCCTTACAAGCGGCCAACATGGCCGACCCGAGTTCGATTCCTCCGCCCCTCTCGGAGAGCCCGGCAAGCTACCGAGAGTATTGGATATGCCAGACACAGTAACAGTAACAAGACTATATTGCTCCTTGCATTTGAATTTCAGAATTTGTTTTAAGGAGATTGTAGTTTTAATTATCTTTGACCTAGTTTCCCATTGTCATGCTTGTACCATATGGAAGTTTCTGGGGTAATAGTCATGGTTTCTTCCAATCTTATTAGCTTGAAGCTCTCCTTCCTTTTCCCCTTGTAGCTTCCCACATGCTTTACCCTAATGCATTTAGAAAATATTAATAAGTTTATGTGGCCTAAGTGAAAATATGGTGATGTCCTATTTTACCATACATGTGCACTAATACTTTACCTACATGCCAGAGGGATGTGAGGTGGCTTATGAATTTTTAAAATCTGCGTGTCCAAAAATACTGTTAAAATTAATAAGAAACCATTTAATGGAATTGGTAACACCAAGTATTTATCACACATAAGAAAATTCATGAAAGTGAAAGAGGAAGATAGCCTGTTAACTAGTCAAGAACTTTGCTATTTTAGACCAGTAGAGAAAGATCATAAATGTGGTTTCTGTGTAGTAAGGCCATTACTGGAAATATTCCTCAGTGTCTTATAGAAAGTTTTGTCCTAAACAAGAACACAGAAGATGTGTTTGGTTAATCCCTGTTAACTATTGTCAGGCATTTCCTATTCAAATTTACAGTTGACCATAATGAAATTTACCATATGGAGCCATCTGGAATTTAGTAGGTTTTATTTTTTATTATTTTTTAAATAAGAGACTATAAAATCCAGTTCCCACGAATGCGGCCACGAGACATCTTATCAGGACATCTTTTTATGACATCTTATTATCTCATTCCTACTTTGGACAAACTTGCAGGCTATCGAATGTAGCCTGCCCACAGGGCAGAGTCTGGCAAACTCCCCGTGTCGTACCCAATATGCCAAATACCAGTAACAATGATGGGTCTCATTCTCCTAAAGAGCCTTGAATATAATCTCAGGGCTAGGATGAAAGAGACGTTACTGGGGCCTGCTCGAGGCAATCGACGAATAACAGGATGATGAATGAAAAAAAAAAATTTTTTTTTTAAATTTTTATTAGTGAAACACCATGAGGTACAGTTATAGACTTAGGTTTTACCTCATATAGTTCTCATCATTAGACTCAGAATTGATCATATTGCTATGTGTTAGAGAGAAAGAATAAATAGAAAGGGGATTGGGGAAGAAGATGAGGAAAAGGAGTAACATCTGACGTTGGTACTGTATCTCAGGCACTTGGGTGATGTTGACTTGCAGTAACTCTACACCAAGGCCATAAATATTAACTTTATTATAAATATACTAGCTGAACTCCTGCAATAAAAAAAGAAAATTATATTGAAAGGTTCGATTCCTCCGCCCCTCTCGGAGAGCCCGGCAAGCTACCGAGAGTATTCGATATGCCAAACACAGTAACAACAAAGTCTCCAATGGAGACGTTACTGGGCCCACTTGAGCAAATCGACGATCAACGGGAGGGCCTTTACCTTTACCTTTATATTGAAAGGTTAAACCTCAGAACATGTCCCTCCATTCCCAGTTTTTGTGTACTTAGGAGGTTTCTTATGTTAAGTTCAAGTTTTCAAATAGAAGTAGATGCTTAAAATGGCATCCTTTGGGGTGGGGAAATAGCTCAAAGGATTGGTGCACATGCATGCATGCTCAGGCCCAGAGTTTGAACCCTGACATTCCATGGCCCCCTTGGCCCCATGGGTGTAGTCCTGGTGGCCACCAAGCACTGTTGGAGTGACCCTAGTGATCTTCAGCACCAGTGGGCCTGAGCAGCACTGCACCAGTCACATTGCCAGGATCAAGTACATAACTGCCCTATCAAGTGTACCAAGAATATTCCCTGGGCTCCCAAGTCCTTCTAGAGAGGCTCTCGCCCGCTCATGTCCCTACTCTCCAGAAGAAAAAAAATATGCTGATTTGCCCATATATCTGTGGAAAGCATCGTATATTTTTCCCTTGTATCTTTGTATTCACTCGAAGTTCTGAGGTGGGTCTGATTACCTTCTGCTCTGCTGGAAGGAAGGAATTAGAGAAGGTGAGTGGTGCAGGATATAGAATGAGTATGGTCCTACGCGTGTCCAGCTCCCCGATGCTAGCAGTTTTGAGGCTGAAGGATAGTCACGCTTGTAGAAACTGTGACATGATCTCATGTCATTCCCAAGCAATCTTTGTGATATGAGGGTTTGGCATCGTTTTGTGGACAGGTAAACCGAAGTACAGAGATACATGACACATGTGGTCCCCAGTGTTCCATTGATCAATGTGAGACCTAGGGCCCAGGAGTTGCCCTTAGACCATGTTCTTTTTTTTTTCTTTTTGGGTCACACCCAGTGATGCACAGGGATTACTTCTGGCTCTGCACTCAGGAATTACTCCTGGTGGTGCTTGGAGGGCCATATGTGATGCTGGGAATCGAACCCATGTTGGCTGCGTGCAGAGCAAACTCCATACATGCTGTGCTATTGCTCCAGCCCTGAGACCATGTTCTTCTAAAAACAAAAATAGCTGACATTTATTGGGTTCATACTGTAGGCCAGGTGGGATTCTTACCATTTTTTTTTATTAAGTTGATTTATGCAATGCTTTTAGCAGACTTATGAACCACATATCTCGAGTTTTCAGTGTAAATTGAGGCAGATGAGTTGAATGGTTTAGCACAAATCAGAAAGCTAGAGAGTACTACATCAGGGATGGTTGACCCTGAGTCTCCCTTTGTGGACTTTGTACTGTAGAGTTCCAAGTGTACTTTAGAGAAATTCCCACTAACTAGGACTGTACTCCTTCTCTTCTCCCTCCTGCCCCTCTCTTTCTTTACTTGCATGGTAAGAGGAGTAGAGCTGTTTTTGTTGTTGTTATTATTTTAGGAAAGCATATTTCAGGAGAAAACGGTTTTCTGTGAGCAACTGCATTCAAGTACATAGTTAGCACCATAGACCTGAGTCCTAAAGATAATTTGCGATGTTCAGTTATTTAGTGACAATGTTCGTCTTTATTAGCCATTTTAGTAAAGATAACAAAAACTCAAAACTTCTGTTCGTTTTTGAGCCATACCCGGCAGTGCTCAGGGTCTACTCTTAGTCCTGTTTTAAAGGCTGGGAGGATTATATGGGGTGATGGAGCTCAAACCCAGGTCAGCATCTTGCAGGGAAAGCAAGATTGTATTGTATCATCCCTCAGGCCCTCGACCTTTTTCTTTGGTTTGTTTTGGGGCCACACCTGTTTGTTTGGGGAGTGCTTAGGGACTCCTCCCAGCTCGGTGCTCAGGGATTGTTCCTGGTGGTGTTCAGGGAAACTGTGTGCTGTTTGAGGGATCGAACAAGGGCGTTAGCAGGCCCAGGATGCGCCTCTGCACTCTGACCTATCTCCAGGGCCCAGGAAACCTCAACCTTGTAGTCACCAAGTGGTGGGAATGTTTCATAAATCCTGTGTACGCCTCCTTTATAATGAGTCCATCAGTGTTGATTCACCTTCCTTCTGGCTCTTGAGCCCAGCAGACTGCAGTTGAGATTTTTATTGCTTTGTTTTGACCAAGTGCACTTGACTTAGCAAGCGTGGTGAGGTTTGGAGGCAGCTTTCATTTGTCATCGGCATTGTGATGAAGCCGAGTCCCATGAAATAAAGAGACCTTTGTGGCTCACAACTAGTGCCTCCCTCTCCTTGACTGGCCAATTATAAGAGCTTGGTGGTGCTTCTGGTGTAATTTTTGGCTTGCGTACAGCTTTATAGCTAGAAGGAAACAGTATTGCATGCACAAAAGTGATAATTCAAACCCCACATACCTATTGTTCTTTTTTATTTCTTCCCCCTTGTATCCATTGCTGCTGTTCCTTTAACAGAACCCCTTTTTAATTCCGTATTTTGATTTTTTTTTTTAGCTTGTATGACTTTGGGCGACATATTTATCATTTCTGGGCCTCAGTTTCCTCACCATGAGGATTAGAGCTAATGTATGGTAAGCACCTAGGACAGAGCCTGGTCCAGAGATGTTCCATACAGAGAAGCTGCTGTAATTGTTATAAAATGCAAAGAAAATCTTATTATTTAAAAGCTAGAGGTTTTTTTTGTTACAGTAGTAGTAAATAGTGTTTCCCTGTTTTGTTTTTTTTGTGCTGCTCAAGTGAAATCCAAGGGAAACAGTGGAACAGTGTTTGCAATAAGGAAAGATAGCCTTTTGTTCCCTTCAACAGACAAAAGATGCTCATTATGGTATCAAGTGGTGACTGTTGCTATTGAAATGGTTTATTTGTATGTTTTCTTTTCTGTTTTTCCCCCCTAGGGATTTATTTGTGGCTTTTCAGTAGCAACAGGTGCAGCAGCGAGACTAGTGTCAGGATACGACAGCTATGGAAATATCTGTGGGCAGAAAAATGCAAAGTTGGAAGCAATACCAAACAGTGGCATGGACCACACCCACCGGAAGTGAGTAGACCCTTACTGAATGATGAACACTGTGGAAACTCAGATTGGAAGAGGGGGGGCTGGTGGAGAAAAATTCGTGGTTGGTGCTTGAATTTTTTTTTAAAAACTGTCCACTTGAATCTTCCACTTTTTGGTCTAGAAAAACATTTTCCAGGAAACAAAATTAGTTGCTATTTAAAATGTGCAGCCTTGGGGCTGGAGCAATAGCACAACATGTAGGGTGTTTGCCTTGTGCAGGGCCGACCCGGGTCAATTCCCAGCATCCCATATGGTCCCCCGAGCACCAGCAGGAGTAATTCCTGAGTTCATGAGCCAGGAGTAACCCCTATGCATCGCTGGGTGTGACCCAAAAAGCAAAAATAAATAAATAAATAAATAAATAAATAAATAAATAAATAGTGCAGCCTTCCGGTTTTCATGGGTAATGATGGCTTGATCCAAAAGCATTACTCTTACACTGTTTCCCCATGAGGTGGTTTAGTAAGCCTCAACTCAGAATTTAACAATATTTTCTTATCTGTAGTTGATGGAAGACAAAGGGAAGAGATTTGATAATGAATTGTTGGTTTTTTTCACTTTTGCATACTGGGCCCTGTACCATGGGTCTCACACATGCAAGGCCTGCTCTCTACCACTGAAGCACATCCTCAGCAAGATAATGGATTTTGAAAGATTAAAATTATAAAGATACATTGCCGTAAATGCACATTAATCTCTAGTTTTATTTTAAAAAAGTATTCTTAGTCAGACTTTTAATACCTTAGTCTATTCTCAATGTTTATTAGAGTTCATAAAGTATAATTTTTTCCTTTAGAAGAGCTGGTTTTTTTTCTTTTCAATGTCTGTGTATAAAAATTTATCTCATCATTGTATGTGTAATGTCAGTATATTCAAACTTTATATTTGACCTGTGTCAGATTTTTTAATTAAATGCTCTAAATATCTAAGTTTTTAGAATTAACCAAACAAGTTTCAAGGTAATATGTCAACCAGTTCAATTAGGGCACTGTTTAGGAATAAATGAAGTAGATAGAAGCATTTCTCAGTCTTTCATTTAGTTTTGGGGACAACACCTATATGTCTTTAGGGAGTATTCATGGCTCTTTCTTGGGTCACTCCTGGTGGTACACAGAGCTAAGTAGTGCCAGGGATCAAGCCTGCACTTCCTGCTTACAAAGCATGCACTATAAACCCTTTGAACTATCTCTCTGGCCCCAATAGTAACTTTCTTTTTCAAGATAGAGATCTAACATGAAACATTTTCTGTATGTGTTGGCTACATTTATTATCACATAAATCTAATGATTAAATGTGGGCACCAAGTAGCATAGGATACTATCCTATGAAGTAGATAAAACAGAGACTTGGAGTGATTGCAGTAACTTCCCCAAAAGTCTGGTAATCACATTGTATAGCCAATACATACTCAGAGTGTGCCGCTTAATCTGTGCATGTTTTACTTTCTTTCTTTTTTAAATTTTTTTATCTGTAATTTAATTTATTTTATTTATTTTTGCTTTTTGGGTCACACCCAGCAGTGCTCAGGGTTTACTCCTGGCTCTGAACTCAGGAATTACTTGTGGCAGTGCTCCGGGGACCATATGGGATGCTGGGGAGGTCACATGCAAGGCAAACGCCCTACCCGCTGTGCTATTGCTCCAGTTCCTCTTTTCTTTTTCTTAGATCTTTATTGGGATACTGTTATTTACAGTACTGTTAATGATGGTTTCATCCAGATGTCATTCCAGCACCACACCGATCACCACAGAGTACCCGCTTCCCTCCACCAAGGACAACTCTGTACACACACACACACACACACACACACACACACACACACACACACACACACACACACACCCCACACAAATTCAGTTCTGTGACCCAGCTCTCAATTCTGTTTCCTTTGGCCATTTGTTGCTCCCTTACTGTATATCATTAAATCCCACATATGAAAGATATCATTCTGTATGTATCCCTCTACTTTTGACTAACTTTACTCAGAATGATTGCACTTAGATTCCTTTAGAAAAGTGACAGACTCTTAGTGACTCGGAGGATTCTTTTTGTATTCTTTCCAGTTGCTCATGAAATTCAAACAAAATTTAGGCCTTGTGTTACTTCTTGTAGGAAGGCTAACCATAAGTATACATCTTTTTTTTATGTTCTATTTTGAAATTATTTCAACCTTTTTGAAATTGTTAAAAAAGTAAGAGTTCCATATATATATTTTTAGAGGTGAACCTATGCTATTAATATTTTTGGGTATATGCAACTGAGAGGGGAGCCCTCAGTTCAGCCCTCAGGTCTGAAGGTTCCTCTCCCTGATTTTCAACTTTCCAGGATGCCAGTTCAGTGCAAGAGCTAGAGCCAGAGGGAGGACAGCAGGAAAGGTGCCTGCCTTGCCACAGAGCCAATCCAGTTTCAATCCCTGGCAATCCATTTGGTCCCCTGAACCTCACCAGAAGCAAGCCCAGAGCTCAGAGCCAGGAGTAAGCCCTGAGCCTTGCTGTATGTGGCCCCCAAACTGAAGCAAAACTAAAACATAATGCTAACACTCTAGGATGTGATGCTCTGGGTACTGTGTGGTGCCAGGGATCAAGTGTGTGTGTGGGTGTGTGCAAGATATAAGCTCTAACTCCTGTGTCTTCTCCCACCCTCAAGTATCTTTTAACTCCTTTCTGTTGTTGACAGGGGCTGGAGCGATAGCACAGCAGGTAGGGCGTTTGCCTTGCACGCAGCCAACATGGCCAACCCGAGTTCGATTCCTCCGCCCCTCTCGGAGAGCCCGGCAAGCTACCGAGAGTATCTCGCCCGCACGGCAGAGCCTGGCAAGCTCCCCGTGACGTATTCGATATGCCAAACACAGTAACAACAAAGTCTCACAATGGAGACGTTACTGGGCCTGCTTGAGAGAATTTTTTTTGCTGTACCCGGTGGAGCTTGGGGGGTTGCTCCCAGCACAACTCTGAACACCAAATTATAGGAGTGGAACCTGGGCCTCCCATATACAAAACCTGAACTCCTGCCCATTGAGCTTTCTCTCTGCTCCTGAATAATAAATGCCTTAACATAACCTTTCTCACATTATCTTATATTTGTATTTGCAGGAAGGTGGAAGTCTTGTTGTTTGTTCCTTTTGCAGGTTTTTTTTTTCTTTATTTCCTTTTGTTGAATACCTTGATCTTTTTTTCTATTCCCTTCCTCATACATTGTTGGTTTTCTTATGAACACCAGGCCCTTCCACACTACAGAAATCTTTGTACCTAGTTTGTCTGTCACTACCTCATATTGACCGTGATCACTTCCTTCCATCTTTCAGTCCTCAACGTCTGGTTTCTTGTTTCTTGCTTGGGTGATCATACGGATTTGTTGAATACATCAAAGTGAGTCTTCTGGAATCTTGAATATAATTCTTTCTTGTCTTTCTTTCTTGTTTTCTGTATTATTGTTGGCATTAAGAAAAACCCCAGAATCTTGCATTATTTGGGTGGCTAAATTCCACTCATCCTTCAGCTCCCAACTTTACAGAGAGATCATTTATGTTCATTTCCTTTAAGTCAAATACTTTAAAATGCTCTCATCATGCCCTGTAACTTGTAATTTGTATATTTATTTTGTGATTATTTAATTTAATTTTTTTTTTTTTGCTTTTTGGGTCACACCCAGCGATGCACAGGGGATTGCTCCTGGCTCTGCACTCAGGAATTACCCCTGGCAGTGCTCAGGGGACCATATGGGAGGCCACGTGCAAGGCAAATGCCCTACCCGCTATACTATCACTCCAGCCCCTGATTGATTTTTTTTTTTTTTAGTTTCTCTCTTATTGAAGTTCTGTGAGAGAAAAGGGAAGGTTGGGTTCCAATTTGCTCAATGCCTAGAAAGCAGCAGATACCCAATAAATCAGTTCTAAGAAGAGTATCACTGGGACGGAGATAGGGATATTTTGAAGTTACTAATGTATACTGTCAGGCAACTTTCCATTTAGCCGTTCTGCTTATTTTCCCACCAGCAGTGTCTAAGGTTACTTCATCTTTGTCAGCATCATCTATTTTTAATTTTTCACTAATTCAAACAACTGAAAGTGGCGTTTTATAGATTTAACTTGCATGTCTTGGATCTTTCATGACTTAGTGAAGCCTCCCGCTCTTAGTATGTTAGTTGTTAGCATCTCAGAAAGACTATTGTGCTAAGCATATCTAGCTATTCTTGGTTGTGTTTGCAGTAACCCAACCCACCCTTTATACTATGATAGGATTAAGTTCCTTAAAACATAATTTTTTAATTTTTTTTTATTCTAGGATCACATTTGGTGGTGCACAGGGGCCAATCCTGGCTCTGCACTCAGGAATTACCCCTGGCGGTGCACAGGGGACCATATGGGATGCTGGGAATTGAACCTGGGTTGGCCGCGTGCAAGGCAAACACCCTACCCACTGTGCTATCTCTCCAGCCCCTAAAGCATAATTTTTATTTTAACATATGCCAGCAAGAGCCTTTCCTTCTGTAAATGTTGCCCTTTGTATAAACAAGGATGCCACTTGGCCCATGCTGTTCTGTATCCCATACTCTCTGAACCCACTGCACGAATGCCATTTCTCTCACCATGTGTGTTTGGTAGTGTGGTCTGTCATTACCAGTTGATTCTACCTCTGCTATTTTCTACCTCTCCACTAATTTGAATTCTTGATAGACTTTCAAGGTATTCATCATAGCCAACCTTCTTATAGAATATTTTAAAACTCACTAGATCATATAGTGGGACCTCCTTTATTACCCGAACTTTTCTGATCTCATCCTGGCTTTTCTAGTGCCTGTAAATGGTTCTCTAATTATATTGTGTGTTTCTCATCTGCCTATATTCATCATCAGTTGCTAGGCAACAGTATGACTGTGAACTTAGTGGCAAGACATACTTATTATCTCAGTTTCTCTGGGGCAGGAATCTGAGAATGGCCTGTCTGTTTCCTGCATCAGAGACTCTCACAAGGCCATAATTC